CTCCAGCTCATCCCGCCGAGGCCCGCGCCGATTGCCAGGGCTGAATGGTCTCGATCTCGTGGTCGGGGTCGTCGCTCTCGTGGCACAGCATCTGCGTCATCTCGAAGATCTTGACGGCGTCCGGCACGTTTACCGAATCCTCCTCGACAACAAACCATTCGCGATTCGCCTTGGGCGACGCGTCAGCGGCCAAGTACAGGAAACAGTTGAAACCACGATTGCTCCATATCTTCTGCCTCCATATCATGTGCAATAGATCCAATCGCATCCGGGTCCTGGTCATAGTTGCTGGCGACGGCACCGGCAAGCCTCGCAGCGTGGGATGAGCAGGACATCATCCTCCCCTTCCTCCTCCTCCTCCTCCTCCTCCTCCTCCTCCTCTCCTCCTCCTCCTCCTCCTCCTCCTCTTCCTCCTCCTCCTCCTCCTCCTCCTCCTCCTCCTCCTCCCCATCCTCATCCGAGGAGTTGACAGGCATGATCATTCCCCCCCAAGATGGCCCCAAATGCTCCCCTGGAAGCCCCCGCGGCGCCCCCGAAAATCCAAGATGCCCCTGAGAAACGCCCCAAGAGAGCCCAGGCACCGTGAGCAACTTGAACACTGAAGGAAGGCGTGCCCCCCCTTCCCCCCCATCCCTCCATCCCGCCTTCCGACACCCACTCGCTGAAAACCTTCCGCGCCGCGCTCTCCGACAGAACGTAGGACAAGCTCAGCTCCATGGCGCAGGCCAGGGCGCCGCTATCCCTGCAGAGCTTGCTCAGGCGGAACGCTTTCAGCAGGGTTCGCAGCTTGTACCTTTGGGGGCGATGCGTGGGACCTCCGAATCGGCCCGAAGGAAGGGCGGGCGACAAGTACCCGAGTTTCCGCCCCAAGGCAAACCCTTAGATGTCGCATCGCCGGCGCGTGCAAGGGATAGGATCTGCCCCGCACATCAATGGGTGATGCGCGGCGCGGGGGAGAGGAGGGAGGGGGAGGGGGGAGGGAGGCGCCGGGGGAGATGATGCGGGGAGGAGGAGGGGGGGGGGCGCGGCTGAGGAGGGATGGCGAGGAAGGAATACGAGGTTGCGTGGGGGGAGAGGAGGAGGACCTGAGGAGGAGGACGAGGAGGAGGGAAGATGGAGGAAGAATACGATGACGACGCCGACGACGAGCGGCGGCGCCCCCCCAGAACGGGATGTGTCTATCCGCCCCCGCACCCGCCCACGGTCCTTGGACCCTGACCTCTGGTTGTCTTAACGACAATCCCATGATGTGTTGATCAGCCATCATCCTCCTCATCCTCCTCCTCCTTCTCCTCCTCCTCCTCGTCCTCATCCCTCTTCCTCTATCTCCTCCTCTTCGTCGTTCTCTCGTCGTCGTCACCGTCGGCGCCGTCGTCGTCGTCGGCGTCGTCGCCGTCGCCGCCGCTTTCGCCGTCGTCGTCGTCGTCGTCGTCGCCCTCCGCTGTCATGCGGAATAGCGACGGCGACGGCGGCAGAGACGGCGGCGGCGGCGACGGCGACGACTCCGGCGACGACTACGGCGGCGGCGGCGACGACGACGACGACAACGACGCAGACGTCGACGACGACGACGACGACGACGGCGGGGGCACATCTTGCCCCCCTCGCATCGGCTCTGCAGGAGCGCCGACCTGGGCGCGACGACGGCGATGTCCGTCGTGAGCTCGCCCGCGCCAGCCGCCACGCGGCCAGCTTCCGCCTGACGGTGCAGGAGTCGGCGGTGGACAGACCTCCCTTTAGTGAAAACGGCCTGGGACCGAACCCGACGGACCTGGACCCGCAAAGATGACGGCCGCGACGCCCTCTCGCGAACAGAAAACGGCCAATTCCTTGATCGACGTGTCAGGGTAGGAGGTCTGTCCAGCCCCGAAGGAGGCGGGGGGCGGCAGCGGAGTCCGCACGACGACGACGACGGCAGAGGACGACGACGACGACGACGACCGGACAGGAGAATGGAGCGTGGACGGGAGGATGAGGCGGAGGGAGAGGCAGGGGACGAAGATTCAGAACACGGCCTGGAGGAACGCCACCATCTCGCGGAAGCGGCGGCGGTCCTCATCGCTGGCCGTGAGCAGCCGGGGCCCCCACCGGAGTAGCTGGTCCGCGCAGCCTGGCTGGGGGGTCGCCCCGTCGTCGTCGTCTTCGGCAGCGGCGTCGGCATCGGCGTCGGCGTCGACGTCGTCATTGTCGACGTCGTCGCCGTCGTCGTCGGACTTCAGAATTCGGGGGCGAGGGGGGTGTCCCGACGACGACGACGACGACGACGACGACGCCGTCACCCCCCCCCCTCACCGTTCCCCATTGGACCAGGCCGCGCCTTCCAGAGTGGGGGCCCAGGGCTTCTCGCGGAACGCGCCGCGGGGGCCCTGCATGTCGGGCCGGCGTCGCGCGCGAGCTGAGCTTGACTGCAACAGAAATGTTGCAGGCGCCGCATCGCCCACCTCCTCCTCATCATCCCCCATTCCTCTCCTCCTCCTCCTCCTCCTCCTCCTCCTCATCCTCCTCCTCCTCCTCCATCCCTATCATCCTCCTATTCCTCCTCATCTTCCTCCTCCTCCTCCTCCTCTTCCTCCTCCTCCTGCGGCTGATCCGCATCCTCCTCCTCCGCCTCCGCCTCCTCCTCATCCTCCTTTTCATCTTCCTCCTCTTCATCCACCACCTACTCATCCTCCGCCTCGCCCCTTGGGGTGGGCGGGCGGGCGGAGTGGTCGTCGTCGCCGTCGGCGGCGACGACGACGACGACCTCGAGGGTCGACCATGATCGAGGTAGCATCCTGGCTTTCCAGGACCCCTCCTCGTCGCCACGACAGGAAGCAACGCGACAAACTGGTGTGTGGGGGCGGGCGGGGGCGAGTAGGGAGGAGGCTACAATATGATTAGACAACACGCGGATAGCATACAAGGTAACTGAAATGGCTGAAGCGAAGTTGCGGTGACGGGGGAAGGAGAGGCTATATCAGGAGGAGGGGGGCGGATGATGAGGAATCGCGCCCCGCCACACGAGTTTTTTTTTGTTTTTCGGACCGATAGGGTTCCCAACGTCCCGAAACCACTGGGATTGAGGCAAACCAGGAGCGTATGAAATTTAGCATGGTGCTGATGATAATGCTGGTGGTGGTGTGTGCGATGATCGTGATGCCTTCTATTCTGATGAACAGGAGGAGGGGGAGGAGGAGGAGCAGAAGAGGACGAGGATATTCTAGATGAGAATGGGGATGCGAATGATGGTGATGATGCTGATGATGGTGATGATGGTGATGGTGATGGCGACGGTGTGGGTGCGGATGCTGGTTGCGAAGACGTCGAGGTTGATGCTGTTGCCGACGATGATCATGATAATGTTGATGCTGCTGATGATAGTCATGATGAGGATGATGATGAAGGTGATATGCACATGCTATTCAGTGGAGGGGGATGAAGATGGTGCTGCTGCTGTTGCTGATGATGCTGAGTATGGTGACGCGGGTGCTGATGCTGCTGATGATGCTGAAGCTGATGCTGAATATGATGGTGAGGAGGATGAGGATGAGCATGAGAATGAGGAGGATGCTGAGGATGTGAAGGAGGAATCTGAGTAGGTTGAGGAGGAGGAGGAGGAGGAGCAGGAGCAGGAGTAGGAGCAGGAGGAGCTGGAAGAAGAGGAGGAAGAGGACGGCCGTCGCACGTGACACATTTCGCCTTCATTTTTGGAGCTTGTCTGGGCTGTGCGCCATCTTTGGGAGCTCGTTTGGGCCGTGCGCCCTCTTGGGCTGATTTGGGTCCCTCGTAGACCGTCATGGGGTTCTTTCGGGTCGTCTTGGGGACCTCTTAGCCGTATGGTGGGTGCCTGGGGGCCGTCTTGGGCAGCCGAATGGCCTTCTAAGGCCGTCTTGGGTCCCACGGAGGGCCCTCTTAGGCCGTTTGGGGACTGCCTTGGACGCTCCTTGGGCCCTCGTGGGGTCCTCTTGGGCCACCTTTGGACCGTCGTGGGGGGGCCTCTTGGGCTGTCTTAGGGCCATTGTGGAGGCTGCTTGGGCCGTCTTGAGCTGACGGAAGCCCGAACAGCCGATGATGTGAACATCATCTTAACACACATGGTACAATCATGATTTTGGCTTCTTCGGGCCCCTTTTCGAAGCCTTCTTCGTCGGTCGTCAAGGCCCGTTGGGCCTTCTTGAAGCCATCTTGGAACGTCTTGAAGGTAGAGTGGGCCGACTTGGAGCCATCTTGGGCCGTCCTGTAAGCGTCGTTTCCTCGGGAGCGTACATCTGTTGCATGTCACAAGGGGTTGTCACCTCAAAAGCGCAACTCTGCTACATTCTACGACAGATTGTGACCTCGAGAGTGCGAAGATGTTGGATCTTGCAAGCGATTGTAGCCTCGAGAGGGGGTGCGATGCATGCGTCGCAGCGTGGCGAGAAAGCGGGCTAGGCCTTAGAAGATTACAGACATTTGCCAGATAGCATTTGGCATTCTAGCACGCCCCAACGTGCCAGGGGGCATTGTGGCGGACCTTGTTTGTTTTGTACAGATCGTTTTGTTCGTAATGTCTTATGTGAGCCTGACGCGGATTCGACGTAAGTTTGCTGATTCGACATGTATTCAACGTTGATTCGTGGATTCAACACGGATTCGGCGCGAATGACGATTCGATGGGACAGACAGGAACCCCTGAAGATGCAACACAGTTGTGGGCGGGGTTGAGAGATTTGGGGCCTAAACACAACTAACGAAACGCATCACGGCAGCGTGAAGTCGGGTGCGTTGATGATTCCGAGTGGAGCGCTTGCGGCGCCCTCGTCATCCCAGCCCCTCCTGTCACGAGCTGGTCCCTTTGCTGGTTCCCCTCATACACCTGCGCCGCCTCTAGGGAGTTTGCCGTCGTTCGGGGCCGGTGCTGCTTCTGCCAGGGGGGGGCACCTCGTTCGGGGGGGGGTGACCGTTTGAAAGGCCGCCCGCACCCTCAGGAGGCGTGGCCCATGTGGAGTTCATGGCCAGGTTTGGCATGAGAGGAGCAAGTCATGTCAAACCCTCGCGCATTGCTCCAGTGCTCCCCCGCCCTGTCGACCGCCAGGAGCTGTGTGGGTGAGAGAGCGCACGTGCTCTCCATAGCGACCGAGTACCGGCAGGAGGCCGTCATCCTCGAGAGGTGTGCGCTGCTCCTCGGCTACGAGTTCCAGTTCTGCGGCCTCGGGGAGGAGTGGGTCGGCTGGGGCACGAAGCTCGTGCAGTACCGCCGCTCGCTGGAGAAGGGCCTGGGCAGCGGTTCGATCGCGCCCGCCGACCCCGTGATGCTGATCGACGGCTGGGACTGCGCGCTTGTGGGCCCCGCTGACGAGTTCTGCGAGAAGATGGCGTCTGAGGCGTACTCCAGCCCCTCCTGGGGAACAGCAAGTTGCATAAACATGAACTGTTGGAGGTCCACGCGGATTTCTCGAATCGGCGCTGGACCCCTCTAGCAGCGCCTCCAGCTCCGCGCGCCAGGGAGGCTGGTCCAGCGCGGATCGACGAAATCGGGCCAGACCTTCGAAAGTTCATGTTTATGCAACTTGCTGTTCCTCTGCCCTCGGTCCCTCGATTCGCGGGCGAGCGCATCTGCGGCCCAGACTTCTTCAAGGCCTCCAGGATCGACGAGGTGGCGCCGGGGAGCGGCACCCCGTGGAGGTACCCCAACGCGGGCGCCGTGTGCGGCCGGGCCGGGCCGGTGCTCCAGCTCGTTGAAGATCTGCTGGAAGGCTTTCCCGAGCCTTTCCCTCGAGGAGCAGATAGCGGCGGCAGCATAACGCTTCGGAGGTCCACACGCCGATTCCTCGGATCGGCGCTGGACCCGCCTCGCTGGCGCGCGCAGCGCGCGCCAGGGCCGGCGGCGCCGCCAAGGCGACGCCCCTGGCGCTCCGGCGCCGAGGCGAGAGAGAGCTGCGCGGGCCTCCGAAGGCTTATGCTCACGTCGTTATCTGGTCCATGATTTCCCGGACGGCAATGACCAGGATCGTGTGCACGAGCACCTGCTCGAGCACGGCGAGCGGGGCGCTCCGCTGCCCTTCCTGGTGGACGACAGGTGTGGCATCTTTCAGTGTCTCTACGAATCCGAGCCCCAGTGGGACATCGAGGATCGTGAGCGAAGTACAGATTGTTCATTTCTAAGTCTTCATAAGTTCTTTGATTTTTTGGGGGCCAAGATCCTTTCATTTCTAATTGTTCTGTCCTGGGCCTCTTCCTGACCACCAGGGGGCCAGGAACAGTTAGAAACGAGCACACTTAGAAACGAGCACACTTAGAAATGAGCACGATTAGAAATGAACGACGTGTACATATCCGTATCAGCGGCCTCGCGGGCCAGGCCCCTGCGCCGCGACCACGCTGATACAGGGCGTTTTTTCGCGGATGGCCCGCGCGCAACGCGTCTGCGCGGCCGCTTACTTGCGGGATCGCGCCCCGGAATCCAGACCGTGACGGCGCGGATGCGGATATGTTCGCCGCTCGTGAGAGGACTTGGAGGCACCTATCCCTCGGCTGCGCAACAGGGTGACCGGCGAGCGGCCCCTCGTGCTGCACGGCAACGGCCACACCGGACGCTGGTTCTTGTCGGGCCTGTGGCGCGAGCTGGAATTGCTGCGGCGCGTGGACCTGACGCCAGGCATCATCGAAGCACAACAAAACGCATATATATATATGTGTGTATATATACACATATATATATATATATTCGGCGGTCCGACGCGGATCTCTTGGGTCTGCGCTGGACCCCCTGGCACCGCCTTCGACGCCGCCCCTGGCGCGCTGCGCGTGCCAGGGGGAGGCGGGTTCAACGCCGATCCAAGAAATCCGCACGGCTCGCCCACAGTGCGTGGCATTGTATCTCGACTGCCCCAGACAGTGCCACTAGATGAGTCATTGGATGGGTGTGGCGAGGTTTCGCGCGGCCGCCCTCGTCTTGTTTCCGTCCTCTTGCACGCCGGACAATTCGCCTTCCGGTTGTCCCGAATAGCCACACGCTGGAACGGACTGCATCTGCCTCGCCGCGACGAAAAAAACGTTTCGAGGTTTCGCCAGGTGGGCGGCTGTGAGCGCCTCGTGGGCGCCCCGTGCGCTTGCTGGCTGCGGCGCGGTCTCGCCCGGTGGGCGGCCGTGGGCGCTTCGTGGGCGCCCCCGTGCGCTGGCCGGGTGTGTCGCGATTTCGCCTGGCAGGCGGCCGTGGCCTCCGCGTGGGCGCCCCGTGCGCTGGATGTGCTTGGCGAGGCTTCGCCCGGTGGGCGGCCATGGGCGCCTCGTGGGCGCCATGCGCGCTGGCTGGATGTGCGTCGAGGCTTCGTCTGGTGGGCGGCCGTTGACGTCTCGTCTCGTGGGCCCCATGTGCGCTGGCTGGGTGTGGCGAGGTTTCGCCTGTTGTGCGGCCGTGGGCGCCTCGTGAGCGCCCCCGAGCGCTGGGCTGGGTGTGTCGAGGTTTCGCCTGGCCTGGGGGGCGGCCGTTTGGCGCCTGGTGGGTGCGCTGGGCGGGTGTGTTCAGGCTTCGTCTGGTGGGCGGTCTTGGACGCCTCGTCCGCTGGGCGGGTGCTGCGAGCTTTCGCCTGGTAGGCGGCCGAGGGCGCCTGGTGGACGCCACGAAGCTGACTCGAGATAGTTCAGATAGCCCAGGTAGCTCATTCTTCACCCCACGTACATAGCTTACATCACACCGATTTCACCACATGGATTTCACCACTGAACGTGCACAACACAGCTTAAACCACATGGCTTACACATAGCTTTTGCCACATAGCTTGCACCTGATAGCTTGCGCCACATAGCTTGCGCCACATAGCTTGCGCCACATAGCTTGCACCACATAGCTCCGACCCTTCTAGTCCACAACACACGCAGTGTGCACCACATCCGTTGCACCATCTAGCTCGCACATCCACAGTGCAGTAACTCGCTGTTTGGGTAGTAGGCTGGCAACTATTAGTTTGTTTATTGTAAGGCATGCTGGCGCACCTCCCGTACGACGGGCCCGTCCCGCCCGGGACCGTGCCGGACGAAGCCACGGAGAGAAATTGGGTGGCCACCTTCGAGCTCTACCGCATCATCGAGAAGCAGATGGAGTACGCGAGGAAGGGCCTGGAGTGGGACCCGTGGAAGATCGCCCGGGGGGAGATGGCCCCTGGCGGTGAGCCCCGGCGGTCCTGAGCGGACGTTCGGATCGCAGCCGTGCCTGGGCCGCCAGCGCCTCGCCTCTCCTTCGTCCTCCTCCATTTCCTCCTCCCCCTCCTCCTCGAATCCTTGCCCTCCCCATCTCCCCTCCTCCCTTCTCTTCCCTCCTGCGTCTTGCGCGACCTTCTGCTCCCTCATTTTCCCTCCCCTCCCCTCCCCCTGGCGCTCCCCCTCCGCGAGCGGATTCGAGCCGCAGTTCCTGCGAGTCCCCCACCCATCCTTTGAGCATTTTGCCCGTCGCTTCTTCGTATGCTGTGCTGCTGTCAGCGTATTCGCTCCGCCGCCATTGGGTTTGTTCCCTGCAGGTTCCTCGAGCGTTCGACGTGCGCCTACGAGAGTGTTTCTTTATTGCTTGGGGCATGACGGGCGTCGTGGCCCCCTCCTCCCCCTATGACGTAACGCTCCCCGCCCCACCAGTGCGCTCCCGGCACTGCCGCCATGCGAATCGGGATCTTCATAGGTGACCGCATAGGAATCCGCATAGAAGTCTGGTCCGAAGTCGTCGTCGTCGTGCTCGTCGCTCGTCGCTCGTCGCTCATCATCGTCGTGCGCACGGACTCGGCCGGAGCCTGTTTTTAAATTCCGACGACGGCAATCATCTGGGGGAGGGGGGGAGGGGCCGATGACGTCACGTTTCGCGCCGGCGGCGTCTGGGAATGCCTGGGAATGACCGGAGACGGGTAGCAGCA